TAAAAACAAAAAAAACAAACAAAAAAACCTCTTCAAGGTCTTATGCTACTCAATAATAGAGCCAGTTAATTTAATTCCAAAGCCTGTGCTCTTCATGACTTTGAGGAGTGGTGTATCCTCATCTGTCTGGCTTCCTCCACTTAGCTTGAAAGACTAGCTATACGGTCCCTATTTTTATTAAGAATAAACAAAACTAAACAAAACTTTGACCAGTTTAGGTTTAATTGTTCAATGAAAAACGTCTGGAACAATATAAAACAAAAGGTGAAAACCTAAAATTCATTAATATCTGTCCTTTACACTATATATTATAAAATACATATTCAGAAAAAACAACTGTTTAACATACCTGGAAATTTTATGGGAGTGGTGTGTGCTACATTTTTAAAAAGACTGTGGACTAAATTGTTACAAAGACCAAAATAACACTGACACTGTATTTGCTTAAATAAATGTTTTGGGGGTTTTCTTTGTTGTTATCTTCCTTCCTTCCTTCCCTCCTACCTTTCTTTCTTTGTCTCTCTCTCTCTCTCTCTCCTTCCTTCCTTCCTTCTTTCCTTCCATTTTTACTTGAAGGGACTATGGAATTCCAGTGTCAAGAGTTCACTCAGCATTATTTTCAATATTAGTGGGGGAAAGAAAATTCCTGGCCAGTGTACAATTTCACTATGTATTTTTTCTCCTGAAAAACACTTCCACTAATAATTTTTAAATCAAAGCTTCCTTTCTATAAAAATGCTTTAAACCATTCTTTGTAGAAAACTGGGGTGCAAGATTAAGCATTCTGAGGAAAATATTAGCAGTACTTGGAGACTTGTCTGCACTGATGTTTTCAGCCACTAAAATATGACTGATGTATTCCAATGTGCCTTGTCATTTCTGTGAAATTGTACTTTTGGTTTACTCAATAAAGCTGAGCTTCTCAATAAAGCTGGGCTCAGCACCTCAAATCCTTTAAACTGCCTTTTGAAGCCACAAAGCCTCCAATTATCTACCTATCTTGGTATTTCTCTTAGTAAATAGAGAACCATAATGGTGCACACCATCACTCTGTTGGAGAAAACAGATAGGCCACTCTCCATGCTGATATAATAAAGACTTCTATCACAAAGAATAAACAACTAAATGAGCGGCAATAAACTTAATTTGCACATTAGATATGCTTTTCCAAGTTCCGACATTTCAGTTGAAAATAATGCTGAAGCAATGAGGCCTATAATTGAACATCCAAAACTTCTCCAGTGGGGAAACAAAAACAAATGTCGCCTGCAAACAAGATCATTTTTATAGCCTGCTGTTACTCTGCTTTTTAATAATTTTTCAAATGCCAGATCAAATCATTTCCCCTTTTACGTGATTTTCATGTACCTCTTAAGTGTATGTACACACTGTAATTTTATGCAAGTCCTCCAAAACGAAAACACCTAAACTCTCTTTTCAATTCCTTGTTTGTGCCTAAGGAACATGTCCTTGGATTACACTGGGCATCATCCGAGGCTCCAGCAAGGCTGGCGCTAATTGCGCTCCCAAATTCCCTGTTTGAATGGAAAATGGTTTTATTCTACTGCATGAGTGAAATAGAAATCTCTAACATACAGTGCAGATAACTTCAGAATCCTCTTAACGCATATAAGCCATATCAGCTAAAAACTAAGCTGGAAAATATCTTACTCTTGTAACTATTATCTTTTTACATGTTATCTAACAACAACATTTCTTGCATGACTGGGGCTGATAAGTCAATTCAAAGAGAGATGATTGTTTCATCAGCTTTACTGAAATTTCTCATTTACTCTTTACCACCTTATTACCAGTAAGGTCACTATATGCTGATTTTGATGTGAGAAACAAAATTATATTTGACTCTGTAATGACAATCAGATGAACACCATAGACTAGAAAATACGAACACCCCCCCCCACACACACACATTAAATCATTTTAAACAACCAGATGACTATGCTCTTAATAGTCAGGAAAATGTTTGAATCAATGCATATTATTATAATTCTTTCTCAGATTAAAGCTTCAAATTTGTAGGTTGTAAAATAATAATTCTTCATCAGGAATAGTTTAAACATTCTTACTTGAAAGAGAATTAGTGATAGGAGTCCAGTTAAGAGGGTATGCTAATGACAGACTTATCTTAGGTCCATATTTACACAGCAATCCCACAGTTTAATAAAAAATCATAGAATACAAATCAATAAAAAATAAAAAATTCTAAAGATGCTTTTATTTGTAATGTCCACGTTTTTTGTTTATGTAGTTATTTTTAAATGTATGTTTTTATGTTACTCTGTATGTATGTATTTCTTTTTAACATGGTTCTTGTTAATGGCAAAGAAGCATAGAGATCCCCCTTAAAACAGACGTGGGTATTTCATGAAGATTAAAAATAACAAACACAATTTCCTTCTCATTATTAGATATAAATGAGTGAAAATTACTTGATATTCATGCATACTGATATATGCCCTGTTTGCATATGTAAATGATTCTCTTCTTTGTGCTGAAAATATTGGAACAGTGAGTTCTCTTCATGAAGTCTGTAGGATTTTCATGTACTTCACAATTGTTCCCCCTTGCAGAGTAAGGAGTTCTCTATGTATTAGAAATACATAACTACAAACCCTAAAATATGGAAAGTGAAAATATTTTAGAAGTTCATTATTTTCCTTTGATGCTCTTTATTGCAAAGTATCCTAAGCTTAACCCCTGAGAAATAGAAAACCTTCATATTTTAGGGCAAGGAAGTCAGAACAGAGATTATCTAAGAACTAAAGAGTGTAGGATAAAATCATCTCACTCAATCAATAATTATTTATTGAACACATAGAGTTCCCAGGACTGTTCTAGGATTTGTGACATTTCTGCCTTCTTTATGCTTCTTTCTAGAAGAAGAGAAAGAAGGAGAAAAAAACCATAGACATGAAAAATAAGTGAAGTATATAGCATGTCAGAAAACGAAAAATCCTACCAAGGAAGAAAGAGTGGTAAAGATTAAGGCGACCAGGACTGCAGATTAGAATAATTTTGTTCCAATAGCCCCAGCAAAGAACACTAGAAATAAATAAAACTTCATGGAGTTTTTGTGTTTTGCTTTGTTTCATTTTGTTTTAAACCAAGCAATCTTATTTATTTTCTCCCTTGTATAGAGAGTTGATCGTGTGTTTTATGGACTATGCCAAATTACAGATGAACTTGTTTCTATCCAAAGAACTGGGAACCCATCTAGAAAAAACATGGCTGTGTTACAAAGCTGAAATATCCAACTGCCACCTTGAGAAATAAGCACAGTCCAGCTTCTCCAGTTACATATTTATGTGAGTCCTCTTTTTTTCTTTTCACCCATTTTTTGCTAAAGGACATCATCATGATGCCAAATGTTTGAAACATTTGAGGAAGAGAAAGTAGTCATTGCAGTCCAATATATATAATAACTTTTATCACTGGAATGTAGGTGATGAAAGGATGCCCATCACTGGTATTTTAGCAGTAAAACCAATGGTCCTAATGGATCACCAGTATTCTGCAGAAACTTTCACTGAGAAACTACATTTCCAGCACCAGTACCTTTGATCCTTTATATTTGTTTTAATTCCCTCTGGATTTTTCCATTCTTGGAAAAATTAACTGTGATGCTGTCCTCTACCATATTTTAACCTTCTTCATATTTTAAAATGAATGGCTACCACCTGCACCTTCTTAATTTGAAATGAGGGAATAAATCTTTTTTTTTTTTTTCCCCTTAATGTTGTTTTTCAGTATATGGGTAGTACCAAACATTTGCTGGAGAGATATTCTATCATTAGATATAGCTACAGCACATTCCTTGAAATGTTAAGTCCATCTCTGTCTTAAAAATCTGATGACAATACAGTCTTAAGGAAGTAAAGTTTTTCCAAATGTGTCACACTGATAAGATTTTGACACAAGTTACATCAATGACATTTCCCCTGAGTGTTTTAGACAATTGTCAGCAGGCATAATGTAATATGTTTAAGACAATGTTGGCAAAAATATCTTCCAGGGATAAAGGTGGGTATTTTTTTTTTCCTTGAGATATTTTAAAGAGTAGTTGAAGTGTAGTAGCTAACTACTTTCTATTTAATATATTTATTTTTAATAGAAATGATGATAAAGCACTGATTGCTGAATTTAATTATTTGGGCTTAATTAGCTGTTCGAACTACTTTATCAAGACAGTCATTTTAATCATCCAGGGGGCAATGAAATGATAAAAGTGACATGTCTTCCAGTAAACATACTAGTTTTATGAGCTGAGATTCAACAAAGTAAAGTAGCAAAGATGGGGAATAGATACTTGAATACTAATTATGTCCCTTGGTGATAGCTGGAGGTACATTTGTATTGATAGTAGCTTAAAAGTCTGAAGAATAGAGTATGCAGTTCTATCATCATAAATTATGTGAACTTACAGGTTTACCATGATGGCTATAATAATGATTTACACAGACACAGATATTTTTAATTTGTTTTTCTCTTTGAAAGAAACTACTCATTAAAGTGTATGCAAGAGGGTCTGCATCTCACGAGCTATGCACCTAGAGTTATATAAATAAATGAACTGGTTATGAATTTGGCAACCTTATATCCATGGTAAAAATTTCATACAAAATGAGAGTTTCTGAAGGAAACTTAACCAAGAAAAATATTATCATCCGATTTTATCAAAATGTCCATAGCTTCCTACATTAAGTCATTTGTGAAAATTCAAATGTTTTAGGTGCCGGTTTTAATTCTGTCTAATTACCCACTGACAGCATTTCAACTGCCGAAGTATTCACATCTGCTGTGGTATCCCACTGGCAGAGCAAACATACTATTAATGAATATGGGAACACGATTCTTAAATAAATTGTGAAATCAAATATTTCACATATACAACATGATACAAGTTTCACACAATGATAAAGGTTGTGATAGGTACACATATCTCCAATGTCCATCAAGCACAAATGAAGATAATAAAATACCTTTTACGACTAGGCTGCCAGTGTTCTTTGCAACGCCAAACTGATTTGTAGCTACGCAAGTATATGATCCGGCATCTGGCCTAGTAACGTTATATATCTTGAGGCTGCCATCCTCTGAGAGAAACACTCTAAAAAGAAAATACATAATTAACAGAAGTAAGGCTCTTAAAATAAGCATTAACCATCTATATTCATTTTAAAACATTACTAAAACCGTAACCATACTCATTTCCTTCTATCCTATCCTTGACTGTGAGCTATCTCTGAGTCCCCATAGTAGATATATGCCCTGACACAGTATTGATAATTACTGTACTTATTTGCTCTTATTCTGACACAGTATTGATAATTACTGTACTACCACTTGACTTATCATTGTTGATTTTGAAGCCCATTAAAAATAAAATGGATGCTTGATGCTACAATGCCCATTTGCTTGATTAATAACAAATGTAACTAACCACTATGCATTTTGAAAAGTCAACTCTCTGGTAAAAATTGAACTTGGCATTAGAGAAATATAAGCTAATTTTCATGTTGTTTAGTCATAGCTTTAGAAACCTGCTCTTATTTAACACTTTCAGCCATCAAACAACAGGGTTCTCAATGACAATATTTGCCAGAGCTAGTGAATTGAAGGAACCATCTATATGATTTCATAGCCAAAGGGCCCAGGCTTATCCTTTTACATGGCCTATACCATTAAAAAGGGTAAAAGCATAAAAAGAATGAAGCCTTCATTAATCAGACTGAATTAAATTGTCCTAAAATACATGCAATCATATAGCACATAATGAAAGGATAGGTGTTTAAGAAATCCTAATCTTTCATAAAATGATTCTTAAGTTTTCTCCAGAACTCTGAAGTAATCAAAAGCAAATATCAGACCACTGCTGTAATCAGGGAAAACCCAAGATTGGTTTCTTGACAAAATCACTATTCAGTGTTTTAATAAGGAGCCAAAAAAAAAAAAGGAAAAATTAAAGCATGTGTCCAATTTTATGTCTTATAAATATAATTAGCAACTTTCTAAAAACACAACTCTTAAAACACTAGTAGGTAGTCAGGGTTGTAAAAAATAAGTGATGAAAACTAAGTTGTCACAACAATAATTTTAAAGGAAAGATATAACAATTGCCATGTATATCATATCCATTAACAATACTAAACAGTATTTGTTTCATTGCAAATAATATCATTGTGCCTAATATGTGTATCACACAAAATGTAGCTAATATAATTAATTACCCAATTTGAAACCAAGAGAATATCAGCCAACTACAATTTGTATGAAGCTAGCTTCTGATTCTGAATTTACTATTAGTGATGTGTTCCACATTCTGTCAAGTGTTCAGTTGGGGCCACATCTGAGTTTAGAATGTTCCATGACTTATAATCAGATTTTTGTTTAAGTCATTATCTTGGAGTATTTCCCCAAACAGACATTTGATATCTCATTTATTTTCTGAAATGTCTAGATTTCTTGGTTGCAATTTACATGAACAGTTGAATCATACTGTTAATGACACAATAGTAGTAAAGCTATTCTAATATGCAGCAAACTGCTGGCCAAATATAATTCTGTATCTGATTTAATTAGAAGAGATCAATGTGAGAAGCATCTCGGTGTATCACCTATCTCTAGAATTTAGGAAAAATCAGGAATTTTCAGGAACACAGAAATGTTAAATTTTGGCCAGTAAGACAATTTAAGTGATATAAATTATATATCTGTTGATATCTAAAGGTCATCAGACAAATATCCCAGCTAGTAATGCCAGTGTTTATATGTTATATAATTTTTCACTTAGCTTTCAGAAAAGAACAATTCATATAAAAAGTGGTTTAATATTACTACCCTTTTCAGGCTCGTGATATATGTTCGACAATGTTAACGTTTGTTAAATTGAATTGAAATTGTCATCATTGAAATTGATTATTTCTGTTAAAATCTGTTTGAAATCTTCAAAACCAACTGGTATTTCTCATGTGCCTAGCACTGTTTAAAATACTGAGAATGCAGACCAAGAAAAATTACAATCTGTCTTAGAGTAAATAGCTAATAAGTATTAAGAGAATGAATTGAAAGTTACATATCTCTATATTATCTCTAGCACTCATCCTCTTTCCAGAACCATCTATAGTTACTTGCTGTAGACTAATTCTCCATGTTTATTTTGATGTTCAAGAAGTTCCTGTTGAGTCGTCATTAGATGCCCTTAGAAGAGTCATCTGTGTTTGCTTCTCAAAATGTGGTCTCATCCCAGACCTACTGAATCAAACTTTGCATTTAACAAGATATCCAGCGATCAGGATGAACAATAAGATTTGAGAAGCACTGATCAATTAATTATAAGTTCAACTTTGGCCTGTAAAGATTATTTTTATTTCTAAGCAAGAATCTATACTGTTTTCATAAGATCAATATGCAAAAATGGATAAAAGATAAAAAAGATAAAAAAAATTCAAATATTTTATGAAAATAACCGAAATAGTAATCAAATTGATTTATCACTTATTAAAAATATGATTAAAAAATAATTCTCCATAGCAACCTAGGATATAGAAAACCAGAGATTTAACTATAACTAAAAATTTTATAACATGGTAAATAGTATATTTCAACTTATCATCTAATTTTTTAAATTAGTAAGAAATGGTAAAATATAGTAAGAAAACTTACTCTATGATAACATAGATGGAATCAAACCACATAATCATAGCCCTAATTTTATGCAGAATAATTATACAGAAAATAGTTTTAAAAAGTGAAATTTCAAGTTCTGTCACATATTAAAATACGGCTTAGCAGAAATGATTAAAAAAAAGAAATGATTAAAATAAAAGAAAGAAAGAACAACCAACTAAAATCAAACTGCACTAAACAGTTGACATTTTCAGGAAAGGAAGAAAGCACCTATAAAAATTAGCTGAAACATTTAAATTCATGGTTTTGTTAATATTCATAGAGAAGTACAAGGACTGACTTTTTATTCTTCTTTTGGAATATTCTAAAAGGTAGTTTAAAATGGTATCTAGAGGGATAGAAAGGACATACTAATGAAATATATTTAAATATTCTATCTTGATTTCATGTAAGCTTCTTTGGTGTTTTAAACAAGACACAGCCACAAGCACTGATAAGCTTGACTATCAAAAAATTTGAGAAAACATTCTGGTAATAAAAATAAAGATTTTTGTGAATAATAAGTAAAGAGAATATAGTTATAGAGACAGAAGCATAAGGCAATCAAGTGATTACATAAAATATATATTTATATGTATATTAGGACCTAATGCAGAGATTATACTACTATAGACAATAAAAGCCTAAATGAAAAAATGTGAGCATCATTTAATGTGGTATGGCTTCTAAAAATTCAAAAGCAATTTAGAAATAGAATAGAAAGCCCAGAAATAAACCTGTGATTATAGGTCAACAAATCCATGCCAAAGGAGGCAAGAAGATTGGGAAAACTGGAGAGCTATATGCAGAAGGATGAAAATGGACTACTTTCTTACAAAAACTCAAAATGGATTAAAAACCCAAATGTGAGACTTGAAACTATAAAACTCGTAGAAGAAAATATATGCAGTAATTTCTATGACTCAAGTCATAGGAATGTTTTATTTTGCTATGTGTCCCCTGGTAAGGGAAACAAAAGCAAAATTAGACTCTTGACTATACCAAAATAAAAAAGCTTCTGCAAGGCAAACCATCAACAAAATGACAAGTCAACCTACTGAATGGGAGAAGATATTTGCAAGTGATATAATCCAGTAAGTGGTTAATACCAAACATTTATAAGGAACTTACACAAATCAACACCAAAAAAACCCAAATAATCCTGTTTAAAAGTGGACAAAGGACCTGACTAGACATTTTTCCAAAGAAGATATACAAACGGCCAACAGAAACATGAAAAGATGCTCAATATCACTAATCAACAGGGAAATGCAAATCAAAACCACAATGAGATATTACCTCACATCTGTCAGAATGGCTAAAATGAAAAAGATAAGAAATGATGAGTGTTGGTGAGGATGTGGAGAAGAAGGAACCCTCATACAATATTATTGGGAATGAAAACTGGTGCAGCCACTGTGGAAAACAATATGGAGTTCCCTCAAAAAATTAAAAATAGAATTATTATATGATCCAGTAACTCTACCACTAGGTATTTACCAAAGAAAATAAACACACAAACGCAAAAAGGTACGCAGCCTTATATTTATTGCAGCATTACTTCCAACAGCCAAGACAGGGAAGCAACCCAAGTGTCCATCTATGGAAGAATGGGTAAAGGAGGTGTGGTATATATGCAATGGAGTATTACTTGGGGGAAAAAAAGATCTTGCCATTTGCAACAATAGGAATGGATCCACAGAATATAATACTGAGTGAACTACTCAGAGGAAGCCAAATATCATTGATTTCAGTCATATGTGGAATGTAAGAAACAAAACAAAGAAAGAAAGAAACAAACAAACAAAAAAAGAGTCTTAAATACAGAGAACAAACTGGTGGTCACCAGAGGGGAGGCAAGGGTGGAGGGGAGTGGGCTAAATAGATAAAGGGAATTGAAAAGAAAATTTAATAGCAATTTAAATATATAAATGGAAATGGAGCAATGCTAATACTTTCTTCCTTCTAAACTTACTCAGCAAATACTTACTAGTATATACTGAGTTCTAGGCAGGATGTTAGATGTTATAATAGAAATAAGAGTAACAGGGTGTTAATTACCAAGGACACACTTCTCTATGAATAAACGCAGTGGTCAAAATCCAAGGAGGTTATTACTACAGGTCAACTCTATACAGGCCCTCTACTAATTGTATAATAAATGTCAACTCAGTGAATCCTTAAGTCAAACCCCTGGGCTCACTATTGGTATCATCCCCAATTTCCTGATGGGGAAACTGAAACAAGGGAAGAAGCAGGAGTGCACTCAAATTATTCACTAGGTAGTACAGGGCCCAGATTCCAACTTGTCTTTCTCTTTGGACCAGGAAGCAACTATCTGGGCAAATCACTTTCACTTCAAGTTTCCAAAGCATAGTTTACCAACAGTATAGTTACTAAGAACACAAACTTGAGCAGTTTATTCATTTTACATATGCATTC